CACTCAGGCCAGCGGTGAGACCATGAGCCATGGGTCTGCGCAAGGAGGGAGCAGCTATTTTTAAGTGACATGTCCAGGCTATTTCAAGGTTTGCATTTTTACTTCATTTATTTATTTAATTCAAGAGGAAGTTGTACTTTCTCATGACTCATATCTTTCAAAATGGTGTCTCAGGCATTTTTAATGTTGAAATCATCTTGACTTCATGGCTTGTCAAAAAATGTTTAAGAGCAAATCAGCTTTTTATTTTATCATGTCATTCAAATAAAAAAAGCTAACATATTAAAGTCATAGAATTTCTATAGCTGGAAGGAAACCTGAAAGTTAGTGTTTTTCCATAAAAAAATTAACAGTACTTTCTGTTTAAAAAATATGTGCATATTTCCCAAAATATGCATCTGAAAGATTTTAAATCATCATCATACAAAACGCCTTGAAGCTCATATGCAAAACTTTCAGGGTGACCAAGTGACCAGCCAAATGTACCTGGAGGTGCATACACTGTGCTAGTTTCTTGGAACCTGTAGCGAGTTCTTTTCTTTTGGGAAAAGCACAGGCTGGCTTTCACACTGTTCCTTAGGCTGCAGCAATCTGCATTATTCATGCTCAGTACACAAAAGGTTACTCAGAGTTTAATCTCACAGCTTCAAAAAATTAAAAAGGAGAAAGACACCAAGCAGAAAGTAAAAATGAGATCAATTAAAATTTAATTTTGGGGCTCGCTGGTTAGCTCAGCTGGTTAGAGTGTGGTGCTGAGAGCACCAAAGTCCAGGGTTAGATCCCTGTACCGGCCAGCTGTTAGTAATTTTTATGAAGACCCATAACTTGGCCTGAGCAGCAGGAGCATGCGGTGTCTTAGGTACTCACAGACCTGAACAGCACACATCTGTGGACTTTTCTATGCCCTCCCTGGGCTGCTTTGCCAACCTTTCTCCAAAGCTGAACGTAGAATTCTAACAACCAGTAGGTGAGGTCCTTCGAGATGGCGGCCAGACACAAGACTGTCCGGGGATTTGGGAAGTTGAGTTCATTCTCCAACCACACATGGTCATGAAATCGGCAACAATGAGAAGGGGAGGTGGACGTGGTGGGCAGAGGGCCTCTTTAGTCAATTACCACACCTGGAAGACAGGTGAACTCAGCTGGCTCTGGAGTAGGAGGGGGACAGAGACACAGCGAACACTTCAAGAAAAATTACTTGGATTCCTAATTTACTTGCCAAAAATACCTGCTGTTTCTTGGGCTTAAACTTCTTTCTACAAATGTCTTTGTGAAATTTCTAAGTTAAATTCTCTGTGTATTATTCACATGCTACTATGTTAACTTATGAAATTTAGTGTTTAGTTTTAAAACCAGTCAGTTGCTAAAACAAGCAAGAATATTGCTTGTTTCAACAAGGGATGACAGGTTACTATCTAAAAGACAAACAATATCTATTATAATGCCTTCAAACTTAAAAAAAATTTTTTTTCTATCAGGGAAAACTGGAAATTTCCATTAAAAATATGTCCAGTGGGACTGAACTGTGGAGAAAAAAAGGCCAGCAAAAAAATGGTTAATGCTAGCCATAAAAGGAGGCTGTCCAGAGCCTGTCCAGAGCCAGTCCAGAGAGCAGAAGAAGTAGGGTCCTGGGAAGCCTATAAAGCCATAAAGCCGGCCCAGTGCCAAGGGGGCTGCAGACTTGTGCTGGCCTCAGACAATGACAGGCGCTTCCTCAGGGGAACCTTCCCTACCAGGGGCTCCCCAAGGGCGGGGTCTTTTTTCTTTTTTACACTCCTGCTGCCTCCAAGACTGCTCAGTATTATTCGACCAGCTGAATTTCACCCCACAAGTCCAGAATCACACCTGCAGGGAAGTTTCAAGTGCACCTCCAGCCTGACACGAGCAGATTCCCCGAGGGCTGGCTGAGGCTCTGAGGAACACGAAAACGGTCTGCTCAGAACCCGGACAGGTCAGGGAAGGCTGGTCTACGACACAGGTAAGACTCAGTCCTCGGTCCCTGAGTTCTGGGATCTGGGGTCTGGTGCTTCTGGTCGGTGTTCTACCACAGGCTTGGAGGGGGAGGTGGGTCTCACCTAAGCTGCATCCCTGTTATGGGTAACGGCTGGACACTGATGTGGATGAACAAGGCACCCTCTGGTAAAAGCAGTACCCAGCTTCCGAAATTCAAGGTATGGACCACTTTCCAAATGAGGAAAACCAGACAGCTCTGATCATCTCGGTGAGACCCTAGCAGGGGGCTTTGCCTGCAGGGCCTTTTATAATGCATGCTGAAAAAAATATGACCCCAGTATTCCGTCATATTTTGTTCAAGCAACAATGACTCACTTCAAGAAAATAAGATTGTCGCAGGGGCTCTGCCTTGTATCGTGGCACTCCAGTCATTCCCCAACCCAAAAAGTCACAGCAGATTAATACTCCTTTATGAAGATACATTCCTAATGGATATGATGAAAATGTGGTCTTGATTTTCTATATCTGGACAAGGAATGGAAATTCGAAACAAAATTATATCAAATTGTTTAATGCTCACCCTTATATCTATAAATTCACGGCCAACTTTAATGAGGATATCATGTCAGTAGTAAATTTTATACTAGGTTCCAGTATCTTTTTATTAAACTATTACAAAAATAACGGTATTTGTCAAGGATCAAAAAGCTCCATTTACATGGGAAAGAAATGAATGAATCATTTTAAAACTGTTTTCCTCCACAGTTTATTTAACAAATTTAGGTACGAGAGCAAATGTATGTTGAGGGTTCTTTTAAACTTTCCTCTAAAACTGCTGTCTAATACTTCCCAGAATTTCCACATTTAAAGAGCACAATAAGTACTCCAGGAAGTTTTTAAAAAGAAATTAAATACAGAGGCTAAACACAGAAGCTTTCGACATTAGTAACAGATTCTGAGAACAGTGACATTTATGCTGCTCAAATTAGTATCTGTAAAAATTAATAAAGAATGCAAAATAACTAATAAAATCAAATTTAGCAACCCCAGCTAAGCAAAGGTTACTGAATACTTTTAAAATAATAATCAACACCAAGACAGTAATTTGTATTTTTCTTTTCCTTTTTTTTTAAAGGAGTATTTTCAAGCAATAGGTCAATTAATCACTAGTTTGGTTTTACAGCACTTCAAAATGATTCCTAATGATCACAAAGGGTAAAATGGAAACTCCCATGAGAAAAACAACTCAAATCCATGTTCATGTGAGAAGTCAGATTACCCCAGGATTTCTCACCCTCAGCACTGCTGACACTTGGGGCGGGATAATTCTTTTTTTTTTTTTTTCCTTTTGGTGGTGGGGCAGGGGGTCCTGACCATCACAGGATGCTGAGCAGCATGCCTGGCCTCCACTCCACTGGATGCCAGCAGCACCTACGCCGCCCGCCCCCCCCACCCCAGTAGTGGCAATCTTGATATCTCCAGACATTGCCAATGTCCCCTGATTGAGAAGCCTTAGTTCACTCTATAAAGAACTTCCAGGAGCATACTGTAATCAAGTGACAGGAGACCCCACTTCCGCTCCAAGCAAAGTTGATGAGCCACATGTACAAGGACTGCCACACACTCTATCCCATCATAAACAAAACTCTGAAGGAGGTCTTCTGTACCAGTTTCTAGGTAACAAGCAGGATTATAAAAATAAATTAGGTTCTACAATGATTTGTTAGAACAGTGAATAAAATTTTAATTATTTCCTAAAACAATGCCTATTTTTATTTCTTATTCTCTCTTTCATTCTGTATTAAGAAAAAAAGGTTTATTTCTGGCACCCAAACTTAGTACTAGCGTTAGCAAAAAAAGCTAAATTTCTTTTATCTATTTTACTGTAAGAGAAAAGACTCTGCTCCAATTTCCACAAAGTTTTCTTTAAGAAAAGCTGGGTTTTCCCTTTCCCATCTTATTTCTCTTTCTAACAGCTGCTGAAATAAATTTTATTTCCTCTCCTGAAAAACAGCAGTTTTCCTAAGATTTCCATACCCAATATTCATGCTACTTATTTGACTATTAAGGGAAAAAAAGCATCCAAAAAAAAAAAAAAAGACTATTAAGCAGTTTACAAAGCATCATTGATGTAAATATTTTAACCTAACATTAACTTTACATAATTCTTTTAGGGTATAACAATCTTTATACATACTGTATAACTTGTTGAATATGTAACTGTCATCCATTTTCTTTGACTGACTTTGTTATGAGAGATAGAAATCAAGTTCAAAACATTTCTCATTATGATCTAAGCTTTTTTCCATACTTTCTTTTCTGTATCTCTTCTGACAGTTTTGAACTTTCTAAATCAGATCGTTAAGAACATTTTTGTTTTCAAGAGTTCATCATAATATACTGCTGTATTATTAAACAAAATAAATACAAAAATAAAAAAGTATCCACTGCATATGAAGATGATTCACTGTCCAAGCTCCAACATAAACTAAGCAACTATGGGGGCGGGCCTTTGGGAAAGAAAGCGGGATATTTTTTACATCTATTTCTCCTACTTCAGCTCAGTGACATCCACCTCTCCAAGATAATAAAGCCACAGTTCTGGCCTTCCCTTAATACTCATGTGATGCACCTGTAACTTTACGGAGACCTGGCTGGTGGCATCGGACTTTGTCAGAAAGTAGAGGCTATAAGACGAGACTCAATTCTCTCCCATTTGCTTCCCAGGTGCCCAGACAGTAAAGAAGTATGGCACAGCATTGAACACAGCAGCTAACAGCCACAGGAAAGGACCACTGGACAAGCATGCAATGTGCCCTGCTGGCCTTAGCTCCTTTAATGCAGACACCAATGACTGTATCTGTTCTTTCAAATTTCTGCAATTAATAAACCCAAACTGCCACAAGTGCTCCTTGTGACTTTTCACGTTTTATAAATGTCTGGCTCAAACCAAAGAGAACCACCTTTCTTTCTAAAGATGGATTTATTGTCTAAAACAGATTTCTGTGAGCCTTTTGGCAAATCTTAAAAATTGCAAGTGTGGAGACATGGGTGTGACTTCTCAGGCCCTTGCCTATGGCCTGGAGATTCACCCAGGTACTGCGCAGCCGGAAGCATATAACAGCACCTCCTCAGAACTCAACCTGTCCCACCCGATCCATGGAACTGCCCTTGGGAACCAGACTGGTGATCTCTCAGAGCACCAGCAATATGTGATTGGCCTTTTCCTCTCATGTCTCTACACCATTTTCCTCTTCCCCATTGGTTTTGTGGGGAACATTCTGATATTGGTGGTGAACATCAGTTTCCGTGAAAAGATGACAATCCCAGACTTGTACTTCATCAACCTGGCGGCAGCGGACCTCATCCTGGTGGCTGACTCCCTGATCGAAGTGTTCAACCTGGACGAGCAGTACTACGACATCGCTGTCCTATGCACCTTCATGTCCCTCTTCTTGCAGATCAACATGTACAGCAGTGTCTTCTTCCTCACCTGGATGAGCTTTGATCGGTACATCGCCTTGGCCAGAGCTATGCGCTCCAGTCTGTTCCGCACGAAGCACCACGCCAGGCTGAGCTGTGGCCTCATCTGGATGGCTTCTGTCTCCGCCACCCTGGTACCCTTCACCATCGTCCACCTGCAGCACACCGAGGAGGTCTGCTTCTGTTTTGCAGATGTCAAGGAGATCCAGTGGCTTGAGGTCACCCTGGGGTTTATCATCCCCTTTGCCATCATAGGTCTCTGCTACTCCCTCATAGTCCGAGTTCTCATCAAAGCTCACAAGCACCGAGGTCTGCGTCCCCGAAGGCAGAAAGCCCTCCGGATGATCTTTGCAGTGGTCCTTGTCTTCTTCATCTGCTGGCTGCCAGAGAATGTCTTCATCAGCGTTCACCTCCTGCAGAGGACACAGCCAGGGGCTGCTCCCTGCAAACAGTCTTTTCACCACGCCTACCCCTTAACTGGCCATATTGTCAATCTCGCAGCGTTCTCCAATAGCTGCCTGAACCCCCTTATCTACAGCTTTCTTGGGGAAACTTTCAGGGACAAGCTGAGGCTGTATATTGAACAGAAAACAAACTTGCCAGCTCTGAATCGCTTCTGTCACGCTGCCCTAAAGGCAGTCATTCCAGACAGCACCGAACAGTCGGATGTTAAGTTCAACAGTGCAGTGTGAAAAGCCTCACAGACACAGACCCAAATGTGGTGCTACTCACAGGAACTGCACACACCTACAGCAAGGGGCAAGGTGGGCAGAAAGGATGGGCCACGTCATGTTTCTAAACCTCAGTCAGAACACTGCTATGGACTCCTCAGTGCCTCGGTTATGGTCATACTTGCTTGGTCGCCCTTGGGGCTGTTAAGGAAACCTCATCACAAGCCCTTCTTGATTCTGCACTGCTCACATAGACTTGCTACTATTCAAAAATGCTCGCCACTGCAGGTCATGTAACTCCAGTAGGCTTCTCTCTGCACACATTGTATCTTGCAGCAGAAAATGATTCTGAAGTTGTTAATCAACCAAAGCCAAAAGACAGGGGGCACTTTGGATGAAATATCTTAGTTACAAAGTAAATCTTCAACAAATCTGCTATCTTGGAGAAAAAAGGAAGTATGGAGATAGAATATGCTCAGCTGATCTAAGCAAGATATGGTGGTATGTTTTCCACATCTGTGATTTATAATTCACTATGTACAAGCAAATGAGTGTACCGTAAGTTAAAAAGGAAAAGAAAAAAGCACTTCTCTTGCATGCACCTGAGCATTCCTCATCTCTCAGAATGGCACCAAATGCATTGCTGCAACCTTGCCCATACCATGTGAGCAACACCTGGGTAACTCAGTCTGCATTAGTTAAGAAGGTTCTTTAATGAAATACCTATCCGCCTGCTCTGAGATACTGATTTAGTCACTGTACTTGTTTACAATAGTCTTTGCAATTATGTTAATGTGGAATGAGACTGTGAGAGTTGCCGTGCAGTTTAGTGGGATGCCAAAATGAAATACTCCAGCAGGTATGGCTCAAGAATTTGCCTCTACAAAAATAATAGTGGGAACAATGTAAACAATCCTCATTAAAAAGTTAAAAAAAGAAAAGAAAAAAACTAATGATTGCTGGTAATGTTCAGCCTTTGTCAATAAAATATAGCCATGTGCTGATTCTTCTAAATGCTCTAAGTAGTTCCCTAAGTGGGGTGAGGAGTGGGCAAACAGTGGGAAGCTCTCAGAAAGAGCCACAGCACCAGAATCGCTCCTTCCTCACAAAGAAAAAATACCTCCATAGCTTCACAAAGTTCACTTACCATCCAGAGAACTCTCTTATGAGGCCAACATCTAAATCCAGCCAACCGGCCATAACCTGGCACTTCTAAGGATATCCAGAAAACTGTAGTCTGACACTTCTGCTGCATAATCTTTGGGTAACAAAACATGTTTTATTACAAATGCAAAAGGCAGGTCTCAGCCTTGTCCAACAGACTGCACCACACAACCTCGCTTTTCTAGAAGGCTCTACGTTGTAAGCCAAGCCATGGTGCTCTGCAGCAGCACAGAGCACTTTCAGAGCAGCCGGCTGGGAGGGCTCCCTAGTCCCACTCTAATACAAGATGAGGTCTGGTTTTCATTTCTGCTTCCCAGTCTTTCTGCCCCACCACTCTGGCAGCCGGCCCATCTCCACAGGGCCCACCTCCCGACGACCTGCTGATCTGACTAATCAACTCAGGGTCTTCACAGAAGTATGTGCAGGAGCTGGAAAAGGGGCCTTCTGAAGGAAAACTGAGATAATGTTTGGGTAACAAATAAACTGATTTAGACTTAACAGTTTTTAACGATTATTTTCCACTTAAAGCTATGATACTGTTTTTTATTTATGATAATATAAGGATTCGTTTACAAATAAATTTAAAGAAAAAGATGAGCCAATTTAAAGAAAACATCTGGAAAGAGAACAGGTGGTTAATGGATTTGGCAAAACTGAAGCCTAAACTAAATTCTGCAGTGAGCCTAAAAGAATCATTTTTTTCTTTCTTAGCCCATTTTGTCAGACATGAGCCTGTACGTCAGTGGGTATGGTAAGTCTGGGTCTGACAATTAGAGGAGGTGCCTGCATTCCCGGTGACCTAATCACAATGGGTGCACATTTCCTCTAAGAAAGAGAGTATTTGTTCCAAACTATGAACTTGCAGAAGTGGAATCTCCAACGACTCAATACCCATTAGGGCTCTATTTATTTAGAAATAAATACACATCCCGACTTTAAGTCTAAGAACAAGACAACAGACCTTCTCCAGGATGGTTCCCATGCACCAACAGGTCTTATGACAAGTGGAGACTCACCATGGGGTACCCAAACCAGCCTCATGCATGGTGCTGTCCTGCAGAACACCTTGGGGTGGCCTTCAGCCACAAACTTTAAGTCTAAGAACAAGACAACAGACCTTCTCCAGGATGGTTCCCATGCACCAACAGGTCTTATGACAAGTGGAGACTCACCATGGGGTGCCCAAACCAGCCTCATGCATGGTGCTGTCCTGCAGAACACCTTGGGGTGGCCTTCAGCCACAACTCAGATGCTAGAGCACCCTTCCCTGTAAGTCATCATGTCTACAAAGGGTGCAAGCACCACATTTACAGTCCTTGCTTTTGTAAAGAGGGAAGAGCTTTATACTTAGTCCACCCCAGCCCTTGACCTCAGTGTTGCTTACAGGAAAAGACCTTCCATCCCAAACCACAGAAAAGAGGCAAGGGCTAGCGCACCTGCACCACTGAGCATCCAGCTACGTGCCAGCCATTCGCCAAATGCATTCGCCATTCTTGTCCCCACTTGAAACGTGGTGACGAACACATACTTTAAAAATATGCAGAAATTAAAGGGACACGAAAAACGATTACATTGCATAATGCTGAATATACTAATCATCCTGATTTGAGCATCACATATTGCACACAGGTATTGATATTCAATTCTGTACCCCACAGACATGTACAATCAACTATGTTACAGTAAAAAATATATATATACAGATATTAGAGACCCAACATTTTTTTTTTTTTTTTTTGTCTTTTTTCCGTGTCCGGCAACGGATCGCAACCCTCAGTGTTGCCCCCGTACCGGACCGGGGACCGGCAACG